AAAAAAAAAAATAAAAATAAATAAATAATCTTAAACCTGTGATTTTTCTACCCAAAAACCGAATGACTTCTGTATTGATTGGTTTAAGGGAAGAGTATAATTCTAATCCTCCCGTAATTTGACTTGACCAATCTAAATCACAATTGCAGACATTGTGAAGTTTAACGTTTGGAGTAGAAAAATCCGAAGTTAAGACTATGGGGGAAGTTCAATAGATATCAAGATTTGGGGGTATGTTACCAAACACCCTACTTTATTTTTACTGAACCTTGCTGCAGTTTATAATTCATGTAGCATACAAAACTGTGTCTAGTAGTTGGAACTGCCATTGAGTTTATTCCTGCTTGTCAGTGTATAGTTCTGATAATCCTTTGGGTTCATTGTCAACAATACAACCAAGAAAAACTCATTTCGCTTGCAACCTAATGGGATGTTTTATTGTGTTCACCGTGCAGGTTCTTTGTTCTTGAGATGCTGAAGGATCTCCTCGCTAAGAGTTGTCACGTCGTTTTGGGTCCTGTATTAGGTGTGGGTCAAGTTTGGGGGTCGGGTGTGTTGGGGTTTGGTACATAAAAAAGATGATGAATGCCGCTGATGGATTGTTAGTTGAGCTGAAGGGGTGCATGAATGATGCGTATCCTGCTCCAAAAGTTCATCTACTTTCAGTTCATAACTGTTTGAAAGAAAGTGGTGAAACAATTTGAAGTCAAATATGTTGTTACAGGTGACTACGAGCTTTTTTTTTCTGAGGTCCTATAAAAGATTTTTATTCATGGTTACTATATTTGTTAAAAATGTTCTTATACCATACAAGAGCATACGATTTAGCTTCAAGCTTTTGAAGGAAGGGAAAAAAAACGAGTACTTTACTGTCGCAACTCCATTCGCCATAAGTTCCGCAAGTGTTCCTATTACTTTCAACCCACTGTAGTTTGTTGTTTTGATCTATACTGCCTTTTTAGTTCTACTAGTATGCAATACGTGCGTTGCACGTGATGCATATTAAGAGACAACATGATTCAAAATTCATAATGTTTTCATAATTATGCATTGAACTTATACACAATATACAAAATGAATGCCAATTAACCATTATCATTACATTACAAACCAAAAAAATATTCAATTAGCATAGCAATATACATACAATGAGAGTAAACATAGCTTTATTGCTGAAAGTCAATAATTAAAAATAAATAAAATTTCTTACATACAACAAGAAGTTAATAAATTTCCAACAATATACATGTTTTATAGAAGAAGCATCCCTCTATGCATACATAAGATCACATACTCGTATTACCGGCAATATAATCCCTCAAAGAAAGCACCATATTGCACTATATTTATGCAAACCCCAAAAAGCTCTGTATTGTTTCTTGGAAGATAAACTATAGTTGCAATAATAAGTACAAATAAAAGTGAAGCAAAATTATACAGTACAATGTCTTGGAAGATAAACTATAGTTGCAATAATAAGTACAAATAAAAGTGAAGCAAAATTATACAGTACAATGTCAAAGTTGTATCTCCATTTTCAAAGAAATAAGTACAAATAAAAGTGAAGCAAAATTATACAGTACAATGTCAAAGTTGTATCTCCATTTTCAAAGATGGGGTTGTTGGTGCATATCTTTCCACGACTTTTTCATCTTTGTCCACAAAGAACTTAGTGAAATTCCACTTGATGTCATCGCCAAAAAAACCTCCTTTCTTTGATTTCAATAACTTAAAATAAAGAGTAGCAGACACCTTTCCATTCATTTCAACCTAAGAAAAAAATGAGTCAGTCACATATAATTACATGAAATTTTCTTCTAGAACAATGGCAACATAATGAAAATTTCTATTGCATATTTGCAAAGTGCAAAGGAGATCTATAACTAAGCCAAAATTTGAAACTAATAATCCTGTTTTGTGAAAATTAACATTGTATTTTGTTTTTCCAATCACGCTACCCATCGAAAACCAAATCTAATTAGTTTGAAGATATTCACATTCATAACATATTTGCAACCTTTGTTTGATTTCGTTTGAATTATCTTTCCTGATGAAAGATAATGATATACAAACAAGAATAAATTTGTAACAATAACAGCTATCTACAAACAAAGAAACAAATAACAAACAAAACTCAATTCAAAATCTAATATTTACCGCTACATTCGATTCTTGAGCTTTATCAAGAACCTTTGATTATCCTCCTTCGCTCTTTGTACCAACAACTCAAGCAAATTCTAAAAATATGCATACATACAATCCTAAAAAATCAAAATCTGTGAATGAGATGAACCAGATCATACCTACAGATATGCCTCATTGTATAATGTATTAAATTTAGCGAATTTCTTTTGATTCCTTATTAAAAACAATGAATGATATAGAAGAAAGAAAAACACTGGAGGAGGCTTCGCCAAGCTTTCCCGCTCAAACCGTAACGGATCATGAACTTAAGGATATCAAGTGGAATATAGAAGACGATGCTATAGAGCCATATGACTCCTGCCCGGATCATGAACTTAAGGATATCAAGTGGAATATAGAAGACGATGCTATAGAGCCATATGACTCCTGCCCATCCCCATCCACAACCTTTGATGCGAGAAAAGCCCCAGTGTGCATACACTACAATTATTGTAGCCACCTGCACAAATAAATAAAAGATCATAACATGATAGAAATCATAAAAAGTTATTCAATGGCAATTTTTTCCGTCCGAACTATTACCAGTTGTGCAATTATTATGTTAGATGCACCACGAGCAGCATCGGTGGCATCAGCCACAGCTATGCCAATGTTGGCTTTATTGAGGGCAGGGACGTCATTTACACCATCACCAGTCATGCGACAGATGGGCTTTCTATATTGGAGGCGCTTCACGATTTTGTATTTGTGTTTTTAAAATTTTTGGGATTTTTTTGCATTCTATATGAATTACCATGTAACTTGCACCAGTAAGCATATAATTTCAAAATTACTTTTAGTTAAGCAGGACAATAGAGATTTATGGAAAACATTACTTACTATCCATTTAATGAAGTGTGTAGATAACTCACAAATAAGGTCTTCCAATTTTTACAATGTGATGATGAACATAGAAGAGCAGCTAATAATACCTTAGACGCAGGTATTTGGTCAATGAGTACTGATTCTATTTTCCCTCAAATATAGAAAAAAAAGTCCTGACTCCTATTTTTAGGCACATTGCCAACAAGAATAGACAAATGATAAATGTCAAATGTGGTATTTTTAAGTATTGTGACAAAATATGAAAACCTTATAAGGATTATTTATGAGCTAAATTACACACCTTCACACACCGTCCAACCAACATATCGTCGTAACGACCAATCGGCTAGCCATCTCCCATGAGGCCAAAGTACATTGCGGGGTCGATAAGCTCACGGTCAAAGGCCAGATTCATACCACACATGGAAAACAATGTTCCCTTGGAGATACTCATAACAACATCAACATACCTATGGCAAACATAGAAACCAACGTTGGAGGATAAGCATCCTTATCCATTTAATACTGTAATGTGAATGATGACGCGTTACCTTTTGTTCCTTTCCAAAGGATTGAGGAGCTGAGTGGGAGCATCATAGTAAGGGATATGTAACCAGAGACCATGGGAAACAGCAGTTGAAACACCTTCCCTGAGGCTGAAAGGATACCCATGCACAAAATTTGCACCGTCACGGTATGGATCATACAATGTGTTGAAGAAGTATGGGGTAGCATAGCTAAGGAGATTATTTATATGCTGCTCCAGAGCCTTGATGCCTTTTCCAGATGGATTCTTGGCCACCTAGTATCATTATTTAAAAAATTGGTTAGAAATATGAGAAGGTATAAAAGTTTTATTAATTATCATGCATATTTACACTATGTATTCTAAGTATGATTATTGTTAGTAAGATCGATATGTGTGTAACCAACTATACTCCTTTTTAGGAAGATCTCATACCATAATCATCAATTGGTCGTTGTCCATGATCTCCTAAAACCGCAGTAACCAATTCCGTTGATATGCATATACGATTTTCCTACAAAAGATAAATATGCAATGAAGTTAATTGAGCAATGAAAGGCATAATAATATAATATTAACTCTCTAACAGTCAGCTCGAAGAGTAGTCACATCATGTGAACTCTTGTAGACTTGAGTAACTGTATGTGTGTACTGTATGTGTGTAGTGCTCATTTACCAGCAAGCAATATACTGAACAGTGCATGACTATCTCAGACAAGAAGCAACCTCTAAGTACCAAACAAAAGACTAATAAATTTAGTATTCAAATTACTTCAACTGGAAACTAATCTATTGACAAGAAGAGAAGTAAATTCAATTTGAAATACAAACAATTTAATGGTTTATTGGTTGACTGGTTCATTAGAAAAAGAAGATGATTGCAGAAATATATTTCACTGCTCAAGGAGGCTTCAAAATTTTATTGGCCTGTTTTGGGTTCATACCACTTTCCAGGGTATAGGAAACCATTTTCAACATTCTCGCTAACCAAAGGTCTATGAAACATGTTCTTGCATAACGTATAAATCATGATGTTTATGGAACAAAATGCACTTAGAAGAATTATGATAGAAGGATATCACCATCTAATTTAAGCCACCAACAAGACAATAAGTACGTCTTCTCATGTATACTGTCTCAATTCAGGTTTGTTTGATGTTCTGCAATATAATAATGGTTGCATACGCAATATTTCCTGTGAACCAAGAATGTTTTCTATTAAAATCATTCAAATAATTAGACCATTTCGTCTAGTGTTTCGCTTGTATTCATGATGTTATATGTTCTAAGGACTTGTAAAAGAATGACACCACGTATTAAGGTTTAAAGAAAAAAAGGATTAAGATTTTCTCATGCAACATGTTATAATATTTTTGAAATCAACCTCCATCCCTCCCTCACTCGCCTTACTGTGAACTCTAAAGTTAGTAAGTAATTGTCCACTAAAGATGCTTATCCAGTAGTCTATTTTAAGGCTCGTCAATATTAAAAACTATCCTTGCCTTACTGTGAACTCTAAAGTCCGCAACTAATTGTCCACCAAAGATGCATACCCAGGATATTCTAACTCAGATCAATACTTCACAATCCTAAGCCTTTCGACCTCTAAGTTACCAGGCTACAGCCTGCTGTTCTAAAAGAAACAAAAGGAAGGAAACAAGGACCTGCAAGTTAACAAAATCCAACAACAAATCAAAACAACTTTTTATGAAATCAGAGATTCATCAGACCCTCTACTTGTACTCATAAATACATATATACTCATGAAAGTAGTCAACTATGTTATAGAAAACAATATGCTCCACCACAAGAAAATCATTAAACTCACTGTTTTTTTCTTGCTTGAGTACCCCATGTCTCGTGAAACATCCAACCCAGAACAAAAACAAAACTGCAGTATATCTATAATAAAGCATAAAGTTGTCAATAACCAGAATACACAGAAGTGAAGATGAGTTTTAACTATCAACAACAACCAAGGATCAATTTGTCTCACATGTTTCCAAAGCTATTCTTGGCATATGCTCCCCCCCTTATGCCCTGCATACATAAATAATGATCCGGAGTGTTTGAGTGAGACCTGCAGTTGTCAAATTCCTATTGTCAATATAGGAAGAGAATTCAGAAAAGAAAAGAAAGAAAGGAAAAAGAACTTCAAATGAGGTTATAGCATATGCTAACAGTGACTCCAGAAGTCTAAGAACTTCCAAAGTTTATTATAATCAATTAAATAACATTGATTTATTCCTCTGAAAGTATATATATGAGAAGATGCCATCATGTGAAAAAGACTATAAATTAGATATCAGGAGTACATATCAAGAGCAACATGAATGACATAAGATATATAAACAATAGCTGAAGCACACCTCCAAGGTAGCCTGGCCATGAGCGACCATGTCTATCATTCTTGTCCTAATCTGCACAAGATAAGATCATGTAACCAATCAACTTTTCCTCCAATTTTTTCAAAAATGTAAAAATGCAAGGGAAACAACATAAAGGATAAAATGCAATGATGATACAATAGATGCAATGAATATAATAAAAGTAAAATATACATGGTTGTACAAGATCAGAAAGAAGAACCAAATTATATTTGATAAGCGACAAATAGAAGATAATACTTGGTGTCTAGTTTCTAAATTATTAAGGCTTGTAATGAGTTCAAAATTGATTACCTTTCAGTTTTTTAGGAGTCGTTTTACATTGTACACAGATACTTATACGTTCAGCATTTCAATGCAGCATAAGGAACCTAGATGTCTCCCCTTATGTGATATTTTGTGTAGTTAACAAATTAATTGCAAGAAATGTGGCCATCTAACATCATTATTTTTGAAGAATTTTCAATAAATCACATTTTAAGATGCTGCTCCAGAGCGTTGATGTCTTTTCCAGATGGATTCTTGGCCACCAAGTATCAGTATTTAAAAAAATTGGTTAGAATCATAACAAAATAATAATAATAAATCCAAAGGCTAACCTACGCTACAAAAAAAAAACATATTCTGTGTGGATATACTGGAAAAATAAATGGATTTGCATAGAACTAAATATGCAGATTTATGCCTCTAAGATGAATTCACAAATTATTTACAGCAATGGACTTATAAATGACAAATTCAGGTTTAACACATTGCCCGTAACCTGATAGTAAATATTAGTTTACAAATCTACTTCAAGAGCAGAACAAGGTATTTTTCTGCGACGATAGTGATAACTACAAAGTATTCCAGAATCCAAGTGAACTTGAAGACTTGAGCAGCTAGAAATTTAAATATTGCGATCATTTCCAAAAACCCATCTCCCAAAAAAACTCAAAACAAGCAAAAGAGGTCAAATTTCATCAAGGGAACCCCTTTTTAGGATACACCCCAATAAGAACGCCTCTAACGGAGACGCAATACACAAAATAAAGGCACAAGATCAACCAGAGTACTCACAGATATACGTGGTTCACTCCTTCGGAGCTACTCCACGGTGCAACGACGACGCCAAATTCTTTTATATCCCAAAAGAATAGATCCAAGAGAACACCCTCTCTTGATCAGATACACTCCAAGAACTCTCACAAACTCTCTCTATGTTTTCTCTTACTCTTCTATAAGAGGAGTTGTTTCTGGGATGAGATTTCCTTAAGAGTTTAGGGCCCTATTTATAGTGTTTGAGAAAACACTATGCACAAATATAATATTATATGTGGGACCCGCCACTAATAATAAAATATTTGTGGGACCCACATCCTTTATAAATTCTCAACAATGGCTGCCACCGAATTTGATTTTTCTTCTTGTGGGGCCCGCCTTTGTGGGCCCCACTTTTGTTTTCATGTTGGCTGGGTCAAAAAGGTTAGGCGCCTGACAATCTCCCACTTGAAGATTTGATTGAATGTCGATCATATCTTCACACCACTCTTGGTTGCATCATCCGGATGTCATGTATCTTTGGCGTCTTGCACGGCCCTCAACATTCTCAACGGAGGCCATAGGAGGCTGCACACAGCCTCACCTTCTCGAGTGGAACTGGCTTGGTCAGCATATCGGCTGGATTGTACCTCGTATCAATCTTCACATCATCCGGATGTCATGTATCTTTGGCGTCTTGCACGGCCCTCAACATTCTCAACGGAGGCCATAGGAGGCTGCACACAGCCTCACCTTCTCGAGTGGAACTGGCTTGGTCAGCATATCGGCTGGATTGTACCTCGTATCAATCTTCACAAGCTTGAACTCGTTCCTGCTTTGCCATCTCCGTATGGCATGGTGCTTCACGTCAACATGTTTGGTCCGAGCATGGAATGCGTCGTTCTCTGACAAGTGAATGGCACTCTGACTATCACAATGGATGAAATATTTCTCAAAGCTTACTCCAAGCTCGAGAAGAAAAGCCTTCAACCATAGCAACTCCTTTGCTGCCTCTGCTGCAGACACGTACTCGGCTTCGGTTGTCGACAAAGCCACAGTATCCTGTAACTTGGATCTCCAACTTATCGCTCCACCACCCAAGATGAAGATGTAGCCGCTCGTACTCCTTCTCGAGTCTATGTCTCCGGCATAGTCTGCATCACAAAAGCCCTCTAGCTGTAAATCTGTCCCGCCATACTCAAGACAACGGTCGGACGAGCTTCTCAAGTAGCGTAAAAGCCACTTGACCGCACCCCAGTGTTGTTTCCCTGGATTGCTCATAAAGCGGCTCACAACTCCTACTCCTTGTGCAATATCTGGCCTCGTGCACACCATCGCATACATCAAACTCCCGACGACAGATGCATATGGTATGTTTGCCATGAACTCGTGCTCTTCAGCAGTCTCTGGTGCTTGGGTCTTCGATAGCTTGAAATGACTTGCAAACGGCGAGCCCACCGGTTTAGCTTTCTCCATGCCAAACTTTTCAAGAATCTTCTCAATGTAGGCCTTCTGAGACAACCTCAGCCTCCGTGCTGATCTGTCTCTGATGATCCTCATCCCCAGAATCTGGTTTGCTGGACCCAGATCCTTCATCTCGAAGCACTCAGAGAGACGCCCCTTGAGTTCCTCAATGCGGGCCAAGTCGGGCCCTGCAATCAACATGTCATCAACATAAATCAAGAGTATTACATAGGATTCGTCATATCTCTTGATGAAGCAGCAGTGGTCTGTGTCACATTTGAGAAAACCGTTCTCCTCCATAAAGTTTTCGAACTTCATGTACCACTGTCGCGGAGCTTGCTTCAGGCCATACAAATTGACAGCTTCAGCCCAAAAGCTCTTGGGCAATCCGGAGTGGATCCTCATACTTCTGGCGCGCTCCAAGATAGTGCGATTCATGCGCTCCGCCACTCCGTTGTGCTGAGGTGTGCCTGGGACGGTCTTCAGTCTCCGAATCCCACGGGACGAGCAGAAGTTCTCGAACTCCTGGCTGCAATACTCGCCTCCATTATCAGACTTTAGGCACTTCAGCTTATTGCCTGTTTCGTTCTCCACACAGGCAAGCCACTTCTTGAAGATGATGAATACATCTGACTTGTGCTTCAAGAAGAACACCCACAATTTTCTCGTAGCATCATCAATAAAAGTGACAAAGTAAAGAGAGTTACCAACAGATGGGACTTGCGCAGGTCCCCACACGTCGGTGTGCACCAACTCTAATTTCTGCAGTTTTGGAGTCGGTCTGGTCTTGTTGAAGCTCACCTTCTTTTGTTTGCCTAGGATGCAGTCCTCACAGAAAGTCAGATCGATCTTGTTCAGACCCGGAAGCCTCTCTCCCGCGGCCATAATCTGCATCCCCTTCTCGCTCATGTGGCCAAGTCGTCGATGCCAAGTCATGCAGTCGACGGATGATGATGATGATGCTTGTCCTGCGGCAAGCAAGTGGTCGATCTTCCCGTTGGCGATGTAGAGAGACCCCTCGCGTTTGCCGTGTGCCACCACCAGGGCACCCTTGGACACCTTCCAGCTTCTCTGCTCGAAGGATACTCTGTAACCGGAGTCAGTCAGTTGCCCGACTGATATAAGATTTCGCCTGAGATCTGGTACATGCCGAACATCATTCAGCGTCAAGGTGGTCCCGCCCTCCATCTTGAGGGTACAATTTCCCTTCCCGGAAACCTTACAAGGTTGATCGTCGCCAAGATAGACTGTCCCCAAGTCCTTCTTCACGAACGATGAAAGCAGCTTTTGTTGTGAGGTTGCATGAAAAGATGCGCCAGAGTCGATGACCCACGCATCACTTTTGTCTTCTAGGGATAGGAGAAGTGCATCCGAATCCGTCTCGTGCATGAGATTGGCTGCACCGTCAGCCCGATCATCCCCTGCTGATGCTTGAACAGTAACTCTGCAGTCCCGTGCAAAGTGGCCCTTCTTTCCGCATCTGAAGCACTTCCCTTCACCGTAACCATTCGGGTTAGGCCCTTTAGACTTCCCTCTGGATTTTGATTGGCCTCGTCGTCCCCTACCCTTCTTCTGTGCACGCCCTCGTGCCTCGACATGCAGAGCACTCCCACTGCTAGAGGCCTCAGCTCCTGAGACTTTGCGGCGAGATTCTTCATCCAGAATTGCCCCAACCACTGTGTCGAGCTTCATCTTGTCATTGCCATTAGCGTTGCTCACCGCCATTACCATATTCTCCCATGAATCTGGTAGACAAGAAAGTAGCAGAAGAGCTTGGATCTCGTTGTCGAACTTTAGATCTACTGCAGCAAGCTGTTGCACCACAGCCTGAAATTCGTTCAAGAAGTCCGCCACGCGAGCTCCTTGCTGCATCTTGAGATTGAATAGCTTCTTCATCAGGTACACCTTATTTGAAGCAGACGGCTTCTCATACAGCGCCTCCAAGGCCTCCATCAACTCCTTGGTGGTGGTCGCATGCGAGACGTTGTAAGTCACATGCTGGTGAAGGTTGAGCCTGATGGTGGCAAGTGCTTTACGATCGAGCACCTTCCACTTATCGTCGTCCATCTTCTCAGGTTTCCCCGCCTCTCCTTGGAGGGGTAGGAAGAGATCCTTCTGGTACAAATAGTCTTCTATTTGCATCCTCCAATACCTGAAATTTTGGCCGCCGAACTTCTCAATTCGAAGCCTGTTGTCTTCAACTGTAGATCCCATGGCGAAAGATTACGTCTTTACCGTATTCGTGAATAGTACCGTATTCGTGAATAGTACTGTATCCGTGAATAGTACTGTATTCGTGAATAGTACCGTATCCGTGAATAGTACCGTATAAGTGAATAGTGCCGTACACGTGAATAGTGCCCAATGCCTTAAAAGAGTAAATATTAATCTAACTTATTTTCTGATGTGGAGGATCCACTTTTAGTGACAGCCACAGAGCATACGATAAGCAGATATATATACTCTAAGTCAGGCTCTGATACCAGTTGTTAGGATTCACCCCAATAATAACGCCTCGAACGGAGACTTAATCACAAAATAAAGGCACAAAATTCAACACAGAGTACTCACAGATATACGTGGTTCACTCCTTCGGAGCTACTCCACGGTGCAACGACGACGCCAAATTCTTTAATATCCCAAAAGAATTGATCCAAGAGAACACCCTCTCTTGATCAGATACACTCCAAGAACTCTCACAAACTCTCTCTTTGTTTTCTCTTACTCTTCTATAAGAGGAGTTGTTTCTGGGATGAGATTTCCTTAAGAGTTTAGGGCCCTATTTATAGTGTTTGAGAAAACACTATGCACAAATATAATATTATATGTGGGACCCGCCACTAATAATAAAATATTTGTGGGACCCACATCCTTTATAAATTCTCAACAATGGCTGCCACCGAATTTGATTTTTCTTCTTGTGGGGCCCGCCTTTGTGGGCCCCACTTTTGTTTTCATGTTGGCTGGGTCAAAAAGGTTAGGCGCCTGACACCCCTAACCCTACTCAAAAGAGGAGAGAGATCTGGAGCACGACACACCGAAGACA